TTCTTTTAAAACGCTCAAAATTACTTTTTAAATAGAGCATGTTTTAGCATATAATACTTTTCAATCAGAAACGTGCGTGCTTCGTTAGGGTCAAAGTACTGCGGATCACCAAACTCATCCTCAGTGACGAGTTCAAATCTAGTTAGTTATTAAAATTGATATTTAAATATCTTTATTATTACCATACTAATATTATTAGTATTGTTTAAATAAATATTACTATTGATGTTGTTGTTATCACCTTTATTATCGTCATAATGACTAACTAGTATTATTAAAGTAAATATTACTAATTTATTGTCGTTATTGTTGAATTAGAGTATTATTATTGAATTAGAATGTTGTGAGTAAACAGAAGACGAACTTTTGGTAGTGTGGTAGTCCTGTTTTAGTAGAATATACTCGTACTTTATTTCAATCATATATTGATGAAAAAGGATGCAAAAACTGAGATTTACATTAAAGAACTTGTGGCCGAGTTGACTTGTGGCCGAGTTGGCTGTAGCCGAACTTTTTGTGGCCGAGTTGATTTGTGGCCGAGTTGACTTGTGGCCGAGTTGACCTGCACCCGTCATTTTCAATACATATTTGTATTGAAAATGACCAAAATTACCATCTTTGTTTTTTGAGAACTAATAAAATATTGATGCATCTTTTTGGCTATAGTATTCTCCCGATCGCCAAGTAACCGTTTTTTTACGTTCGCGAAATTCGTGAAAAAAGTAAAGTAAATCCACAGACGTACAGCTACTGTCTTTTTTCATTATGGTCGGATCTTGGTTTAAAACATTTTATGTTTTAAATAATAACATTAGATTCAGAAATTGTGTATACTTTCTGAAATTTGACCATGATTGGAGCAGTACTGGCTGAACTGTGTCGATTTTCTCCTACTACCAAGGTCTTGTTTACTCATTGTGAAGGCCGTTTAGGCAGCATGCAGGCAATTAGCAATCAATCATCCAACCCACCAGTGACCGTTTCTTCTAAGGGGAAGAATTTCGTCATGTGTGGTTAGAATTGGAATGTAGCTCAAATGTTGGGAAGTTTCTTATGCTTTTAGGATAGGTAAGGCAGTTGTCACTTGGACACCTAAGTGCGAATAACTCCAACCAAGTGGGACTTAGGTTGTATTCATATGTTTTCAAAGAAATAGCAGCCAAGTGGGACTTGGGCTTTACTTTGTACGAATTTTTACTATATTTCTGAAGATTAAATTGCATGTAGAACATGTTATATCCTTGCGTTTGCTTCTGTAATGAAATCTCATATATTGGACTATTGGACTACGTCACAGAACCTAAGTACAAGACACAATCTCATGACATGGTTTATTTATTTACAGGAACCTAGGTACCACACTGAGGTCATCTCTTTATATGGTTTCCATTTCGAACTCAAAGCTCATCGGCTGGGTAAAGCCTGCACTTACCAATTCTACATGCAGGTTAGTAAATAACAGTATTCATCCATCTGTCTACTGTACCATCTATAAAAGATGTTGGAAGATAATGTTGAATGATAATAACAATGATGGTACGAAAATGACTATTACACTGGATTTTGATTTTTGTGTAAAAAGTAAGCAGTGGAAGCCTGAAGACTTAATCCAGTGGGGTCCTTGTGGTTTGAATTGGTCAGGAAACAATTGCCTGCTCATTTCCAGGGGTGCACATACATGATTTTATAATTTTAATTTTTTGGTGGGAGTTGAGTGGCAAGGAAGAAGCACAGATATCTACAGCCTTAATGTGTTCAAGACTCTTTGTCTGGTTGTTAGAACCAAGGGCGGATTGCTATAAAACGGTCTTAACTCCTCAAATAAAGCCGGCTTTATCACTCAGACGGTCTTACTAAAGTCATTCCTCTAAGACCATTGCTATAAAACAGTCTTCCCTAAGACTGCTTTGGGTATTGAAACGCAAACAAGCACTTCCTAGTAAAATAAAATTGAGGGCGACGTCATGCGTGGTCGACGCAGGCAAGTGTATCGAAATGAACGTAAATAAATGCCATAGACCTATTTTTACAGACGCTGAGAAGTGCGCGGAGTATTCGTCGTTCGATTCTCCGACTTTGATGATCTAGGTCTTGTCATTGCTCTGTTAAATTAAAGGGGGGGGTGCGGGGATGAAACGATTAATTTTTAATTTAAAATAGAGGTATATGGGCGACCACAACGACGGTGACGGCACTGGATTTTGAAGCGCGGTATTCGTAAACGAGGCTCGTGAACTGGGTCCCAAAAAAAAAACTGGTGCTACAGGATTTTGAGCTAGTGTTATAAGATAGGGAATTTTCTAAAATGTACCGACTTTCAAAGGCTTGCATTCGGTAACCCCATAAAAAATTGTGTCAAACTTTAGATATTCCAATGTAAATTTGGCCGTTCTTTTCATTTATATGGGTTTTCACTTATGAAAATGTCTCAATTATGTGTAAAATAACGATTTGCCCCAGTTTTTATTTCGGAAATTTGCACTAGACAGGGAGTCGGCTGATTCACTCAACCGTAACGAGCTGGTAACGACACTAGCCAACTGATGAGAATGGTCGTCACGAGCGGAAAATTGAAAAATTAGGACTGGCGAAAATATTCAATAATAATAATAAATTATGTCGAAGGCATTTTTGAAGAATGAATCTTTCTGGTTTGGATAAGGAAGTCTTGGAAGTGGTGATCTTAATAGTGGCGTTAAATAGGTTTGTTTAATACCAACTTGTCTTACCTGTGTAGGCATAGCCTAGCATTTAGAGCAGTACTGTATGTATGTAGAGAATACGGAATACTACTGCCTGGCGCGACCTAGGCCCCTAGTTTAGGCCTAGGCATACAAACTATAATAATATTTCAAACATTAGACAAAAAAACAACACTTTTAAATAAAGTGCATTAATTTACATGTTAATTGTTAGATCCATGGAACTATCTAGGACCTACTAATACTACAGCATTACTAAAAATAAATACCAGTTTATTCGTCGTGGAATGTGGATGATACCTTGAAAGCTAGGCCTAGCTCAAATTTGCGCGGAAAATGGCTTGGAAAAATGTGCACAGAACTTAACTTCTGCATAATACATTGGAAATGGTTATATGTACAGTATTGAGATTAGTTCAAAGACTAATTTTTGGCATTCTTCTCGGAAATATAACCACCTGCCTTAGGCGTGGCCCTGCTGGTTCCATGGCGGGTCAAATGTCCAGCCATTTTGATGGTCAAAATACAGGGGCATTATTATTATTGTACATTAGAAAAGATTGAGAAACAAGATAGTCTATTATACATATATTGTTATTGTCTTCATTTGTAATTTTTAAACTAATTTTTATTTTTATATTACAAAAAAGTATTATATTAATGAAATAATAAATTCTATTCAAAATAATTGCAGCTATGTTACACTAGTTTGCAATGCATTTGAATATGGGCTTTTCACAGTGATGGTTAATTAGAATATATATATTTTCAACAAAAATTATCATTGATGATTAGTGCCAGAATGATAATTCCTTATAAAGATATTGTAATATCAATACTAATTATTTTTGAATGGTGTAAGAATAGTCAATCTGATTTTTTTTTAAACTAGTCTGTTCAAACTTTTTATTGTACTTCTCTTCTTACAGGAAATGCCGACATGTTGGATATCAATGGCTTTCATTTGGTAGGTGTTTAACAGGCTAAAGAAATCTGACAGAAGGGTCATCCCATCTTGCACTGTGTAAGACTGCCCTAGGTTTTTTGATGCTATCATAGAAGATGATGAAATAAACTTTGTGTTGGAAGAATTATTTATAAATTGTTATGGAAGATACTGATAAGTCCATCCTCATTTATGCAACAGATCTTATGTAAATAGATTCATTCTTGACAATTCATGTGACAACTGTGCTCTGTTTTTTTGACAATCTCATCACTCATGAAAGGAAATTTTGTCAGGATAGGCCTAGAGCTTTTGTATATCTGGACCAGTCAATTGTGTGTAACCTTCCAGACCTAGTCTGTAATTGAAATTGTTGCTATTGATGCAGATAGGCCCGCAAAGTAGATTTCAAGAACATTTTGTCGTTATGTACAGTACAATGTTTTTTGTATCTTCCCCACTCTTGTCTCATATTTTAAAATGTTAAGCTAATACAGTATGAATTATAATTTTGTGTACAGTAAATAAATGTAACTTGTTCTTCCCTATTCTTTACATTGGTATAAACTATAGTAAATATAAATCCATATATTTAATATTTTGATAATAAATAGAGTGTGTAAAATGCAGTGATATATATTGTAATACCTGACTGCTTTAATGTTGCTTTATTCTGTGTACAGTAAAACAATTTTATATTAACTGTGAGAAAATACACTTGTTGTAATCAATTATTTGCCATGTACAGTATAAGAATGATAAATTGTGTTTCTATGACATAGGCAAGTTCAACTACTGTATTTTAAAATACTAAACAAAAAATGGTGTACAGCAAAAAAATTGAAGATTTCTCCTAAATTCCAATACCAAATTGATCAGCATGCACACATAGGCATAATCCAGGCATTAAAAAATAAGTAGTTTCATAGAAAAACTTTACACAAGACTGTACAAAGCCATACATTAAAATAGTTGTTCCTGTAAATTTAAACTCATTTAAAACTAATTTGAAAACTTTTTTGTTTACAAAATCGCTTTAATTGGGTTAATTGTTCACTGCGCCTTTGATAATGTTTTTTGAATTGGCGCGTTATAAATTTCTGCATATTATTATTTTTATTATTATTATATATTGAGCCACATTTTCATACTGTACTATCAACTTTGCACATTACATATTTCAAAATTAATCCTCACAATTTGTTTTCTAAATCTGGGTCACATATTTGCTTCAAAAGAATTAATATTGAATGGGATTACAATACAATTTAATAACATTAAAGATATTTTGCAAGTGAAACAGGTACTGTAATACTGGTACAGTATTTATTTATTTATTATAAATTTGGCATGCAATATAAACCTTTTTTCGTAGATGCCAATGTTGGGTGGTTGTACTCATGGCAAATGTTGTGGTATGTTTGTCTCATCATGGCGACTGGCAAATACCTATGTGAGGAGAGTGTCATGTTTTGGCCTATCACATATCTTGTCCTACAAAAATATATATGTATATATTTTATTTGAATTCCACATCAACAACAGCTGAAAGTTAGGTTTGGAGTAACATATGCATCATGTTATTATTTAATGGGGCGTTATTGATGTATAGCCTAGCTTCTAGGCCTACAGTATATCAATAATAATCTTATTGTTACAGGAATTGGTGTTGGCTCTGATGATATAGTGTACTACTATAGCACATCACCTTTATTTAGACAGTGCATTTTTTAGACATTTATTTAGGCCTAGGCCTAGACAGTTTTTCTTAAGACCAGGCCTATAACTAGGCCTATAGTATACTATTATTAGTAGGCCTAGGGGCCTAGGTCTATTATTATGGGAAAAAAAATGCACTAGCACAATTAATGTGACAAAGTCGCCATGACAAGTCTAGGCTAGGCTAGTAGTAGAAACCTACTAACTTTACCGTCAGCTGGATAAGGCTGCGTGCGAACTCACCTGCTGCGGGACTGGAGCTGTGTCCCGGACAGGAGTGCGCTACTGCTGCTGGGTAGACACTGACTGTGCTAATCCTAGGCATAGGTGTAGGCCTAAATTATAAACAAACAGGTCATCGGACTGATATACGTTTATTAATTCAATTGAATTATTCCTCCATGATTGAATTGACGTTGAATAAACCGTCTCTCTGTAACTGCGTACGTAAACGATCACAAAAACTCACGACTTCACTCTAGTGTACTGTATGTATTGTCTAGTCGCTTGATCGTCGGGACGATTTTTCGATCAGCTGCTCACTAAAATTGACAGACTTGTCTTGAATATTAATGAGTTGGTTAGAAAATACTACCAAGCTACTGAAAAAAGTGATCACCCTCGTTTTCACCCAATTTTCCTGTCTCATCATATGTTTTGTTTCTGTAATTATCGTTACATCTCAGCATTTTGAATTTTTTAACTGTTTTTCCCGAACTCAGGAAAGGTTAAATAAGCAATATATGGCCACTTGTCTCATCCCCCCCCCCCCCCCCCCCTTTAATCAGAAGAACGCCATGATGAAAATGATTTAAGACCGTTTTAAGCCTCCTCTGAGTAGGCTTTAAAATTTAAGACGGCTAACTGGTTAGACCGTGGTATAGCAATGGTCTATAATCATAGACCAGTAGTGATGTCACGATTATAGCCGGCTAACCGTTAAGACATCTAAAGACCGCTTATAGCAATTTGCCCCAAGTCTTCTAATATAAGAATTTTACATCTGGCTGGTGTGCACTTTAACAACTGATTTTTGGAAGAGTATCTAGTGGGGGCTATGGTACATTTCAGCCTGTCGTTATGAAGTGATGTGAACAGGAAGCTACTTAGCACCTCTTTCAATTGCTGCAGTTGTCAGGGACCATGAAGATGATGATTATGATGAATTATTATTATGTTGAAGATAATGGTTACGATGATGATAATTTCATTTAATTAAAAATATGTTTATAGAGTTGAGATTGTAACTTGGCATGAAGTCTGTACAGATTACTGGCGGCAGGGGTGTCCTGCCACCATGAGTGTCATCCGCATATGAACCATGAAGATGATGATTATGATGAATTATAATGATTATGATGATGAATATTTCTTTTAAATTTTATAGATTTAATAGTAATTCAAAATAAGTTGAGATTGAAACTCTAACAGTATGCAAGTTATATTTTTTATTTCAATATTTTTTAGCGTTTAAAACCTCATGATCCTACACTGTCATTCAAAGCGTGCGAACGTCAAACATTTTCAATGAGACAAGATCGTGAAGTGCGCTACAGCATCCGAATCCAATGCAAGGCTGATGGGCAAGAACGCTTGTTCAACACAGGGATACTCAGTAAGAAGTTTGGACTGGGCTCCAAGACAAGTCGCAGTGAAGTTCTTACATTAGAGGGCCTATCTCTACCGATTTGTGTCACATTTTCTCTTCTATTCCCACCTTCATAAGAAAGTAAAATTATGCCTTAATATTTCAAATCGATTATATATTTAATACATTATGATTTGAAATTATTAAATTTAGAAATCAGAATAATCATTTTGATTTGATGTGTTTCTAATTATGTTCAGTGAATTATGTGCTATCAAGAATTATCATTATTCCTGACTTTTAAACATTAACAGGGACAATATTTTATATACTGCTATGTGTGCAGTGGTGTAACGGCTATGCTCTCTTGTGCAGCGGTCTGCAATGCCCCCGACACCTAGGGTCGTCGCACTAGCACCCTGATGCAGAAGAGCTTTGATGATACATAACAGCATATTGTGTGTCTGACATTGACTGTAGGACATGTGAAAGATTGAAGTGGAGACAACAGAAAATTATATTCAAATTTTAAGTCTGTGAGTGCCATTTCCGGGGCGGTGGGTGGGTTAGAGATATTTTAATTCCCCCCACTTCCTAAATTTTAACCCAGATCTGCCCTGATATATAGCTGTGATCCTAGAATATTCAAAATTCCTTTTATTATAATTATTTTTAATAATTAGGGTAATGGTTATCATGATAATTATAGTTAGGTTTAGTGTGGGAACTCTGTTTATAATCATAAATTTAGTACAGACCCTCCATCTGTGAAAGGGTGGTACAGACCCTCCATCTGTGAAATAGACCGCCTCTATTTAAATTTCTGGATCCGCCACTGATATATCATTTATATAATTTGAACCCAGATTTGCCCTAATATGCATCTGTGATCCTACAATATTCAAATAATTCCTTTTATTATTATTATTATTATTATTTTCCTTTTTTCTTCTTTATGGTTATCATGATAATTATGGTTAGGGTTAGTGTGGTAATTCTGTTTATAATCATAAATTTAGTACAGACCCTCCATCGAGCACATCTAAAAACCCATGCATAGATATGTCTCAATGAGATTCCATGCAGTACAGTATTAAGAATACTTTAGAAGATGATAAACCAAAGTATATTAATATAGATTTAAGTCATTCTTGTTATAAAATGATGTAGTAAGCGCTTTAAATGTTATACAGTATTGCTATAGGATGCGAGTTTTCTAAACTAATGTCTATGCGATTCGCAATTTTCTTTAAATACAAATCAGTATTTTTTGTATCTTCTAAATTGTAGGGATTATTAAATGTGATTTTATAACTAATTGTGCATTTGAAGATTTGTATGAGTATTAATAATCCAACCCATGGGGTATCATAAGCTCATAATACCACAGTAATTCACTCATTTCACTTATAAAAATGAAAATAAACACCATAAGGTAAGAATCAGCAGGAAAATGACTATAAGTGAAAACTTGGTCAATTATTTAAAAAAAATATATACATTGATACAGTAATCAGAACCTTTGAATCGAGAGCTTGATTAAGTTTCGGTCTCGAGAGGTTGGTCAACCCAGAGGTCTAGGGTGCTTGGCCTTGTGGAATTACAGTGATCGCTTGGGTATTTGGCATGCGTACAAGATGCGGGGAGGAAGGTAGGCAGTCCCATTCAACTGACAGGCACTTGGGATGACTGTGCTAGGTTCAGTGCATTCATGGATGAGGTTCGCACTGCTTCCTTCCCTGCGTTCAGTTGGCTATAGTGGGGCTGAGGATGAGGCAGTACAGTAGCTCTATCCTGGCTATCTATTTCTAGCAGTGGCGTATCTAGGGGTGTATGGGAATGGGCTCCAACCCCCCTCCAAAAAATATTCTCGCGGGGAAAAAAAAAAAAATAAATAAATAAATGAAATAAAAAAATCTAGTCCTACCTTTGCAATTTTCCCAGGTAAGACCCGACCCCTTTCTTTTTGGAGTTCATCGATTCATAGAAAAAAGAATATGTATGCAACTACTCAATTTTTATTTTTTATGTAGGCCTATTTAATAAATAGGCCTATTTACTGTAAGAAAAATGAGACAAATTCATCTGACCGTTCTTGAATTTGGAAGAACTTGAAAGTCATTGAAAGATACTTCAGAAACCGGGAAAGCTCATTTCCCGCTGTCTAGGTATCAACATTTTCCCGGGCGAAACCCCACCCCACTTTTTCTTTTGGGGTGGGGGTGTTGTTTGAATATTTTCATCCCCCTCCCCCCACCCCACCTCCTAAACTTGAACCCAGATCTGCCCTGTGATCCTAGACTATTCAAATAATTCCTTTTTAAGTAACTCCACTTACCTGTAACATCTCTTACCTGTAACATCTCTGCGGTGCCGGTGAGTATAATTGGTGATCAGCAACAGTAGCGGATCACCTCTTGTTAGTCAGGATCATCATTTTCTTTTTGGTGATCCGCTAACGTTAGCGGGTCACCTCTTGTTATTGTCAGAATCTTTCTTTCTTTTTTCTTTTTCTTCTATCTTCCTCCCCAATTTTGTGACCACGATATCTCAAGATTGCTTTAACCAATCAACATGATATCTTCAACAATTATTAGTCTTCGGGTGGAATCGATACAATAAGCTTTTTAGCGTGATCAGTCACGCGTGACTCATCTATGCGCAATTTTGTGTTTTACGTAGCAAATTTTTTGATTGATCATAACTTCACCATCGTTGAAACTTCACACAGGTATACTTCATGTCCAGTACTATCTATATGCTCAGTACTGTCCGAATTGCAGCTCACAACGCGCACGTACGCGTGCGCTAAATATTAAATATGCTCAAAATCACGTTTTGACTAAATTTATGTACGTTTCAGGTGATTCTGAGCATTTCAACTTTTTCACAAATTTTCAGGTCGTACGCGCATTTTCGCGCACGCAGCGCGTACAGATGATTCTAATTACAATTTTTGACATATTTTGAGTTTCTTACACTGTAATGACATATTTGCATTATTTTTCAGTAATTTTACGTCTAATAATAGTGCAGTACGCGCACATCTAAGATACGTGTGTATTTGCTCTTTTTTGTCTATTTTCAGTCAAAATTGTACCTATTTTTAATCAGTTATAGTTCCTCAGAATGAAAGGTGACCCCCAATTTTTATTACATATTCTGAAAGCACATGAGTTGTACATATGATTTTATAGGTCATAATGGCTGATCAGACATTATGACGTCATCATATTTCCATCTGAATTCAACAAACTGAAAATTATCAATGACGTCATTTAAAAAAAATGCGCATTTGAGCGTATCTCGCTTATTCTTGGTCGATTGTCTTCCAACTTTGAGTATGTTATAACTGACACAATTCTCTTTCCTATATGTGACACTTTTTTTACATTTTGATGACGTCATCATGTTCAAAATATAGGGTTTTGCTTACCCCCCTCATCTTTCGTCAAACCTTTGATGACCCCATAATCACCTTAATCATTCGTGATTTCTGAATCATATTTAGTGGGCATAAACTTCAGGTCATGGTTAAATGTTATGTACATTATACATGCATAACAGCATATTGTGTGTCTGACATTGACTGTAGGACATGTGAAAGATTGAAGTGGAGACAACAGAAAATTATATTCAAATTTTAAGTCTGTGAGTGCCATTTCCGGGGCGGTGGGTGGTTGTTAGAAATATTTTAATCCCCCTCCCTCCTAAATTTGAACCCAGGTCTGCCCTGATATACTGTATAGCTGTGATCCTAGAATATTCAAAATTCCTTTTATTATGATTATTTTTAATAATTAAACCTAACTATAATTATCATGATAATTATAGTTAGGTTTAGTGTGGGAATTCTGTTTATAATCATAATTTAGTACAGACCCTCCATCTGTGAAAGGGTGGTACAGACCCTCCATCTGTGAAATAGACCGCCTCTATTTAAATTTCTAGATCCGCCACTGATATATCATTTATATAATTTGAACCCAGATCCGCCCTGATATGTATCTGTGATCCTACAATATTCAAATAATTCCTTTTATTGGTGATCCGCTACACTAGCGGATCACCTATTGTTATTGTCAGGATCATCATCTTCATCTTCTTTT